TTTCATTATTATATTAGCCATGTGTCGAAGAAAAGTTCAATTACTTTCGACAACTTATTTTTGCTAATTTGCTACTTTAGTTGAATAGTTGACATAATATTTTATCACCAATGTCCATATATTACATAATGTTTTCGAAAAATAAGATGATAATATAGGTAACACGAAATTATGACCAAATACAAGACACAGTGAAAGGATTATTTCAGAATATAGGTACATAGTTAATCATTACATTATTATTATTTTAAGACATGCATGACTCATATGCATTACTATACATATAGATACGGGTTAAGAACTAAAGACATATCTAGTGAAGTGTATAGTACAGCAACTTAAATACTTGGGCCAAGATAATACGTTGCAGGTATTTAATAAAGAAACTCATTCGTGTGGACACACTTAAGCCCGTTTGAATTTGATTTATAATGTATTTTCCACTTTCCATAATATTAAATATTTAAATATGATTTTCAGTGTCTTACCACGAGTTGATAAGTCCCCACGCATGCAATAATATTATTGTTTGACGCAAAAGTTTCTTTTTTTTTTTTAATAATATACTTTGTATATAAGCCATAGAGTAAAGAATATTTACATATATAAGCTAGGAAATGGATTTCAACACCGAATAATAACTTTTTTTATAACTCTTGTTTCCACTAATCACATATAATTGTACTATCATCCAGTAATAATTTTTAATTTACTGAACTCAAAAATAACACTAAAATACAGAATGCAAACATCCTCTGGTTACAACATTTTCAGATGAATTTTAATAATTATTCATAGTATATACTTCAGTAACGTAGTAGGTATATGAACCAAAATTACAACAATGTCACATAATATATAATATGATAGTTGCATGTTTACCTGAATACTATAGAGTAAAATACACTATACTTTTATACTATGCAATAATTACTATATAGACTAATGAGACGCCCTGGAAATTCCAGCTTCAACTGATCCATTGAGATTCGCGCATTTTTGAAAAAGTCTATTTTCATCTGTGTCGTATTCTTCAAGTGCAGGAAAAAAAATGTGGCTAGCATATCACAGTAGTGTTCAGAGTTTCCAAGATTATTCCAAGTGATGACACGGCCCACCATACTGTTACTTTTTGTGAATGGAGGGGTCTCTCATGCTGATTTTGTGGATTACTTTCCGCTCAATACCGAAAATTCTGTTTATTGACGAAGCCACTTAAGTGAAAGTGAGCTTCGTCACTCATCCATAAGTTGTATACCCTATCTTCGTTTTCATTGAAAAGAGTCATCATGTGTTGGCAAAAGCGTAATTGGGTATTATGATCTTGTGGATTGAGTGCTTTAACTACCTGAATTTTGTAGGGATGGAAGCGCAAGTCATGCTTTAATATTCTCCTCACAGTCCGATCACTTAGGCCAAGTTCTTTGCTGTGACGCCTGGCTGACTTTCGAGGACTTCTCCCTACTGCTTCTTTCACCCGCTCTATATTTTTACCCACAGGTCGATGGTACCACGAGAAGGCACAGGATCGCGAGGAGATAAACTAAATTGTCGGCGAAACTCACGTTGAGCGCCTACGAAACTATCATTATTTTTGTAATACACTTTTACCGCGAACGCACGTTGTTCACTCGACCAATGCTCCATGATTACTAAATTCCGGGTATTTAAAAGCGATAAGAACATTCCCGAAATCTCTACCACTTTAGCCCTGCCCACCAGTTCTTGTTAAAATCGTCGGGTTTGACTGCCGCACCCTTATTAAAAATGTCTCCTTTTGGAAAAAAACATAAAGTAATTAATATGTCCTGACCTTGAGGATTATTTTTTTATATCAATAAGTAAGTATTATAAGCTTATGATAGAACAATCAGGAAATAAAATGTTGTAGTAAATACCTGTAAGAGATGAAGGGCGATGTATTTCTACTTCTAAAATTCATGCTTTGCTTGCGAGGAGATTATAGGGAAGCTATAGTTCGAGTTTCAAATTTCTATCGGCACAGGAAGAGCCCCAAAAAACATTTTCTTCGTTTCAAAATTTTTTATTCTCACCTCCATATTAATTTCAATAATCAAATGCCATTATACCATTATTACATTTTTTTTTTCATTAGATGACAGATTTTAGCGTATCAAAAGATAGTTGAAAGAAAATAATATTTAGCTCTTTTAAATGAAATAAATACCAATTAATTCAATTCAAAGTATTAATGAATTTACTAAACTTTTTTCAGAAAAAAGCTTTATCAGAATCCATTAAAAATATAGCTGTTACCATTAGAAAAAATTTTAATGATTTTGCTCTTGATATAACAGCGTGTTAAAAAATTTTGAAATTCTTATAAAAAAAAATCCCTCGCTAAAAATAAAGAAACGAGTCTTTTTTTTGGTTTTTTCGAAATCCCATATCATCGATCCATAATCGTTAATAAACCCCGCTTACAATGACATAAGATTACACCCGGTTGTGTATACCGATCAAATAATATAATATGCTCCCGAACACTACTCGATTCAATTGATTCAAATAACTAACATGTCGATTGTCGATACCAATAAGTGTTTCAACGAAATCACGTATATACTTAAACGTTGCAGCTTTATCGTTTGAATTCCGCGTGATTGAGTATTAAACATCAATTACGACTTACCAGTGTAGTTTTCATCTGCCATACGCTGATCCAATGTTGAAGATGAGGAAAAAAATTGAATGGTGCTTTTAAAAATATCTTTACGAAGAAAATTATGATACGTCAATCATGTTATTGAAAAATTATACAGCTATGACTTATACCCGCCCATTGTTTTTCAGTTTGAACACGCTGGGTATATTTTTTCAAGCTTTATAAATTATGACATCAAAATAATCAACGTTTTTGGAAAATATAATTACTTTAATAAAACTAATAATTATTATACTCCGACCATGGTTTTAGCCAATTATTTTATTATTTTAATAACTTGATAATTAATCAAAAATCTTTAGCACAATATTTTTCATACAGCCTTGATTTTTTCATACAGTGAGTTATGACGTACAATGTGTCAACAATTAAAATTCAATAAATTTATCGTGTATATACTTTTTAGATATATTTTCATAAAGGTTTTTAATATTCAAATTCTAATAGCAATCATGTATTTAATATTTGTTGTGTTGTACGTTATAATATTATAATATAAATTAAGAGTTTGGCTAAAATAAGTATTCTTCGACATTATAAATTATAATTAACAAGCTTGGTATTATTCACAAATCATGTATAAATAAAAAATAGCAATATTAATTCTTTAACTCATTTGATATTATTTTTTCCCTAATAATAAATGTTTTGTAATTTCTCAAAACGTATGGACCTTTGAATGAATGGCAAACTGATCAAAATATAAAATGTACAATAAAAATAATATCTTTTAAAATTCTCAGGTTTAATTATATTAAGAGATTATGAATTAAAATTAAATTTTTTTCAAGCAACGTTCAAATCACTTCAGAGTTCTGAGTTCAGTTCACCGGAACGCCAGTGGATTTTAAATCGCTTACTAACAGCCAAAATATGACAACAAAATTAATTTAATTATAACAAATGTTAGTATATTTTAAACCTTATTTTATAATCTTTTGAATTATGCCAAATAAAAATTTATATTCGATATATAGTCGGTAGGTAATCAAAATGTTTTGAATCCTTCCAAAAATGTTGGAAATTGTATACAAATTTTTAGATAGGTGCTTAGAGTGGTGTTTAAATTTCTTGTCTCCTAAATAATAAAAACTTATTATTCTTCTCCCTCTTCGAAATAAATTAAGCAAATCCCCGCTGTGGTATAAGTTTTGATTACCGATGTCCCAGTCTGCCCTTTTTAAGCACATTATTTTTTATCCCTATATCCCTATATTTACACACTATAGGTATGAAAAGAAAATTCATTACTCTATAATGAACTATCAGTCAAAGTGACCTCCGATGAAGACGTTTTTGGTTTAAAGTGAAAAATGAAAAATGAATATAAATTCTACCAAAACTACTTTGATTTATAATCTTAATTTTAAAAAAATGTTGTCGGCCGATTTAATATTTTACATATGAATTACTTACACATTTAATGTTATCACAGCTTGACTTCAATATTATGTAGGTAACACATGCATTGCAATATGTAGTAGATCTATGTATCTATACCTATCTACCACGTTATTATATAACATATATTCTGTTTATTTCACAAATGGTATACACAAATGTGTGACTCATGCGTGACTTGACGGTAGTATTCCTTGAGATTGTATACTAAATCAATAGACTAATTCAATTTTTTTCATAAAATTAGTTGGATTATAATAATAATAATAATAATAAAAATACATCGTACTCAATTTTCAAGAAAAAAATTAATATTTTTTATAACAATTTTCTAATCAGGATAATCGAAGTTCATTAGCTATATTATTATTATTTAATGTACTTACCATATTTTAAATTTGGTTTTCCAAAATTAAGTTGAGTATATTAAATCTGTTAATCACATTATCTCAAACTGTTTTTGGAAAATCGAAAAAATACTTGCATAAACGTCTTAATTCAGATAATCATTATGTGTTACATTTTTTAATTGTTTACATTAATTTTTGTACTTTCAATTAGTTTAAAACATTAAACACGCTCCTATACTTTTAATTTTTTTTTAATTTTTATATAATGTAATAATATAAATGATATTGGTATAATTTTAGTTATCTCAGTAGTCAGTAGCTTTAATCACATTTAGTATTATATAATGTACATTGCCTTTTATATAAGCTCGTTGTGTTTGTAATTTGTATTTGATAATTTTGACACATTGAAGTTTTAAAACGACTGAGTTATAATGAACACAAGCACTCATTATTATCTATTTACAAATGATATGAATTATTGTCTACATCTACCGGATAATACCATTGACTATATAGACAACCTTTTAAATGCGTAATCGCTCTATAAGTATTTTACTAACCTGGGAGATCCTTTGCGTCGTGTCGGAACAAAAACATTAAAAGAAATGATCAATATTTGAGTGGGTAATATTATCTAGAATAATATTAAAAACTAAATTATATTATTGTAACCGAACGCACGTGATGGATTTTTTGTTTTTATTTATTAGGAAAATGTGTTTTCAAATTTCCCGTACGGTTTTTCCGATCGTCGTTCGAGTGCCAATTTACGTGCACACTCCACGCGCGACGCAACACAGCGGTATACACGACTTGTCACCGCCGCGGTACGGTATCAACCATGTGGGATGACTGACGTGATAACGTAACCGAGGCGGATTCGGCCGCTCGTTTTCCGATTGCCCGCGACCGCTGACCGAAACGCCCCAAACGTTACCGGTCAGAAACGATCCACGCGCGACCTGACCGAATTCTGTCGCCGCGGCGCAGTACACTCTAAGAACATAGCGATGGGTACTGTAAAATCTCATATTGTGAGCCAGTACCATTATTATATGATAATATAATCGTACTTTGAATAGTGCATAATGATTCGAACGCTTAGCCTAAAGACGAGAGAACTTGCGAAGTAGACAGTTGTAGTGTATTTAATGAGCACCGCTAATGTATAACTGGTGTCGCTGCTCTGCCACTTCGTCCGTCTTATCTAGTGAGGATTTCCTGCTGCCTGACCCTCTGTTCGCCTTCTGTGGTATTTTTGGAAAAATTATCCATGAATCACCTAACAATCAGGGGCGGCGCCAGGGGGGCCTAGAGGGCGCCCCCCCCCAAGCCCGTATTTATAAAAAATGTATTTTGTTGAAAAAAAAATTACAAACCAAAAAGCATAATGTAATATCGGATATCATATTATGACATGCACAAGTATGTAGATAGAGGTATGACGATGTGTACTATATGTACCTGCTATCTACATTATGAAGAATCTTTATTATTATAAAAATTGGTGGTTTCTTTTTGTTATAAAGTTTTGTGAAATTATAACTTACCCCCCCTCCCCAACCAAGGCTCTGGAGTCGCCCCTGCTACTAATTTCAATAAAACCATTCACTCGAATTGTCTCCAACACACATGCGTATTATCGTTATACAACTATACAGAAATTAAATTAATCGATTTTTCAAAGGTTCTAATTATTTACTAGCAATACCACTATAAAGTTAAATAAATATCAAAATAATCACTTTTCAATAAAATATTGATATTGATATTTTTATTTTATAACTGAATTATTCTGACTGAATACGTTTCTAAGTTATTTAATTACAATGATATTTTAATTTAATTACAGCTCGACAGTTTTATATTTTATGGTATTATGTAATATTACGTACAATTTAAAAGTTTATTTAAGACAAATGTTCAGTGTATTAATTTCTTTCGATAGGTATAAAAAGTTTTGGCTTATAACAAAAAAATAAACAATGTTGCCATAGCTTTAAATTTAAATTTCATATAAGAATAGAAGAAAAATGTATGATAAAATAATACTAGAAGGTATAATTTAACTGTGTCAAAACGTAACTTTGATTACTTTGATTAAAGTTTTTAAATATAATTATAAAAATTGAACTTAATCATGATTTACTTAACGATAAGAGTCTACCTGAAATATAATCGATCAACTATCTGACTATCTGATTAAACATACATAATGATTGAATTTTTTTTTTTATGACTAACGGTATTAAATCAACAACAAGTTTTTCCATGTTTAAATAATAAACCTTAAAGTCTCATACAGTAAATATATTTATTTATTTGTCCATCCATCTTGAGTGTAGTTCTTCGTGCAGATTGATTTTAATAAAAAATGTAACTTAATTATATAAGAATGAAGTATAAAAATACGTATAACTATAATACTATATATAACTATGTTATTTTTAACTTCCTAACTAACTCATTTTTGTCTTTATTATTATTATTAATTTGTTCATTCATTTTTTTTCCTAATAATTTAAAATATTTTGTACTTACTATTTCTCATCATTTCAAATCACCATCATTCTATCATTTGTTTCTAAAAATAAATTTATAATAATTTACATATTTTTATCACCTAACGGCGTGTACTGACAAAATAAAAAAAATTTAGTATTGTTGTTTGATCGCTGTTAGCTAAAAACGTGATTAGATTATAGTTATTATAACTTATATATAGTTGTATAACTTTGGATTTATTCAAGAGTAAATACAAATTGAGACAAATATAAACTAATAAACTCATCTATTTTTAGTTATCACTTCGTTTTTCAATTTTACAAACATCACAAGATTACATAGTTAAATTAACCAATTTATGAGCTAATGAACATTTTTATTTTTAATGGGCATTATGTCATTTAATGTGAATAACATTATCACACATAATGCAAGCTCAGAATCATTTTTCACTGATTCTCCGAAGTTTTAAGACCAAAATATAACCAACATGCCACAGCATAATACAATAAAATAATACCGTTAGTTATGACATAAGTATACGATTGAAACGGTGGGTATTTTTTATTTTTTTCTTGATTTCACACAAGTTTCAAAGTATCCGATGGTGTTTTTAAGCAGATAATATATAGAGTAATGACACAAAAATGAAAAGTTTAACATATTTTTTTGCTTTTGAACACTTTGAACAACGTGATATTAATATAATGATTTGTTTGCATTGTAATTTATTTTGATCGATATTATGAGATATTGTTTGCAGCACATAATATTAAAACAATTTATAATTGTAACAAAGTTTGCTTTTAAGCTGTAACCCTATATTTTACAAACAATTTTCAAACCACGCAAGTAAAATAACATGGATTCAAGACTAAAATGTGATAACTTGATTTTTTTTTTAACACAAAGATAGGTTGAGTTGGTGCTTGAATTGGTTAGAGGCGGAGACAGTTTTCTTTTAAAAAAAATGCGTATCACTTCTTAGTATATTCTAATCAATAAGACATTTAAATATTCAGGTAAATACATCTTTTTTTCACTTTTTCGTCCTACTTAAATTGTTTCCCAAATTATGCTCTGTAGGGTACAGTTATAAATGCTGTATATACTACTAAATTGTATGGGCAATATTTGAAAAAATATCGAGAACTAAATAGTTGTAACAAACATAGTTTACCAATTCTACACATTTCTTATTTATTAATATTTATCTAAAAATAAACATATCATATCATAATTATATAAGTCTATTCAGTTCGGGTGTACCTTTCAACATAAACACATGTGCATCGTATTATCTCTCTCCGTTATCGCTGCAGTGCGCGCATGGCCTATATCTGTCTATTCTGTCTATCGTTTCAGACTACGATTAAAGATAACTTGACTAAATTTTAGATTTGACAAGCATCAAAAATCGTTTACCTATTACGAAAGAATATTAACAAATTAAAGTTTGTATTTTCACGTCCTGGACAACTCTATATTTTAATATACCTACACATTTCGGTTTTGAACCCACGGGTCACAATAATACCACAGTAATTATTTTGACCTGAGTCCGCAGAGTCCATCCAGTTCATAGTTACTTGGTTATATTATTATTAATTGCTGTTATTTTAGTCCGTGCGCTAAACACCTTTATAATAATTTGACCGACCGCGGCACCAAACTATTCGGATAGTCTATTGAACAAGACGGTGCCTGTTCAGTGCTCACAATAGACAAATTATAATAACGCGTTTCATAATAATAATAGACAACTAGATGTTAACAAAATATACAATAAAACTTGCGTTCTTCTTTTTTGATTGTGAAACTCAAGTTGTTACTTTCGTTTGTAATTTAGAACATTTATCAACCACACGCGATACCAAACATTGTATATAAATTAAAATCACTCGGAGTGTTCTAGGCTGTCTATCCATCAGAGAAATGGAACTTGGCAAAAATGTTAAAAATCTATACGTAGGTACCCTGAAATGACACAATATGAGATAACATTTCAAAAATTGATTCATATTTTAGACATTTTTTTTAATAACCTATTTTTCATATTTGAAAATATGGTATTTAGGTACATTTAAAAACTTCAAAAACCAGAATTTGAATAAATTCATTATTGAATAAAAAAAATGGGTGTGAGAATGCTTGGTGAATCTCTCTGTATGTTATGTTATTTTAAATTATATTTATATGTCATACCTTAATCACAATACATGATTGTACATGAAAGCACAAATTATAATTCTTTTTTAAACTATATCTATATATATATTAGATATTATTATCATAAAATTCTAATCATCACAATATCAGCATATGGAGAACTTAATTTTTTTTTAATAGTTAATGCTCGAGTAAAGAATTTCGTTTCCAACTAATTGATTATTCTATGATCCACGACTTACAGATATCATCTATGTGATCATTATTTTCGGGTGCACGTTTCAAGTTACTAGTGGAACGCAAAACACTAAAGGGAAAGGTTCAACCTTCTACGAATCGTTCCACTCAAGTATGTTTGGTCAAAATAATGAAACAACTCTTCATGAAAGAGAAGAACGTAGACTTTAAAAAAGCACACTTCCGTAGTATAATTATTAGTTAGTGGCTAAAATCTGAATTTCCCAACACAACACAACAACCTTATCCTTAATGTACCCATATTTTCTTTAATTTAAATACTCCAATTAATTTTATATTAGTGCTTTGACGCAAATGATAAAAGCAGTAATTTATAGTTGTAAGTGCGGATTTAATGTGTTTTTTTCAGAAGCATATAGGTATTACTAATTTGATGCTTTCTCAAAGTTTAGTTTAACCTTGTCTACATCGAATTTAAAATAAATATTATTCTTTAATTTCTTTTAATTTAAAGTAATTATTTTTACTAAGTTACATTGTTTTTATAAAAAAAATTTGCAAACAATCATTGCTTTTATCAGTAAATTATTGTACAGTAAAAAAATATTTGTTTCTACAGTTATATTAGTTTTCTGTCTTGTTATTTTTGAGTTTTTTATTCTGAGTCTAATATTCCTCCGGGGTTATTTTATTGGAAACTCTGAACAATGTATATATATATATGGCATTTATTTTACATTACTGAAAGCCAATCAATATTTATAGGCGTTCATATTATACAGAAGCCCGGAAACAGATATTTAAAACAACTAAATTCTCCTCATATGAATTTAGTCACAACTTAAAACTATTTAAACATAAGTAATAATAATTTAATTATATTTACAAGACATTTGACTAATCCTATTTTTATTTATAAATTTTTTAACTAATTAATAAATTAATAAACAAATTTGGAATATTAAATAGACTATTTTTTTTTATTAACCATGATATAAAACTT